GAAAAATGAAAATATTGTTTAAAGAATTCCTATATCATGTAAACAAAGGATTGGCTCCTAAATCTCCAGGGTTCTTAGTGTTAATTTTGGGGGTGGGATAACAGAGCCCAAACCCTATCTTCCTAGAAGTCTTCCCATTAACTCTTTGGAAGTGTGCAAGTACGATGTATGTGAGGGAGGGGCTGGGTGAGAAGATGTATTGATCTTATTGGGGCATATCTAAAAATGGTAAATGTTAATTGTGAGCCTGGAGTGTAACGGCATCAAATAACTCTGCCTGAACATTATCTGATCTAAATGGCCCCATCTTCTGGATTTTACTTGTGCAGCACAAATGTCTGTCCTATGGAAGGGTTTGCACAAATGTTTTACTTGTACAAGCCTGAGCCCAACTCTATGGGGATTCTGACTCACGGAGCACCCAGGGCACAAGGCCCATGCAGATGTCTGTGCCATAACTGCCGGGGTCTGGAATGCTCTTCCCCCAACTTGATGTGGGGAGAGCTACTCAACACATCACTATCCCTGCTCACATATTGCAGGGACATGCTGGTTAGTTGTTGTTTTTTTTTAATTTCTGAATTGAACCATTGTAGAGCTCCTGATCTGATGGAAATCAGAAGATGAGAGTTTTAATAATTCCAGATGTTCCTCCTGGTTGTGTTCTGCTCAAAAGGAAATGCTAAGATCTGTTCAACAAAACTTTTACATCATTGCTCCCATTTTAGGTATAATTTCTCGTCCTTTTTAAAGAATGATTCATTGCTGCAAGTAATTAAGGGGTAGCTTAGTGATAGGGAAAAAAATAGTTCTAATTTTATATTTCCTCCTCCCTCCCCTTAAAGTAGGACACTAACTCTAATGTTGCATTAATTAATGCAATGGTGCAACCTGTAGATATGGGGAGATGGTCTGGGCACAATGCAGAAATGTTATATAGGCTAAACCAGTGCTTCCCAAACCTGGCTAAATTACCCAAAATTGGGTAAAAGTGGTTTTTCTTTGGGTAATGACACACAAAACCATTACCCAATCACAACAGGGACATTTAAAATATATTTGAATATTCCCATTAAGATGAAAATCAATGAAATTACCAATGGTAATTTGTTGAAATGACATAAAGATCATTCAGTGATATTGTTTTTATAATACAGGTAGTGCTCAAGTTATGACCATTCGTTCAGGACCATTCAAAGTTACAACAGTGCTAAAGGAAGGGACGTTGGTTTTGGGTAATGAGGGAAAAAGTTTGGGAAGCACTGGGTTAAGCCTTCTATAACCTGGTATCCTGCAGATGTATTATTCAATCAGAACCTGCCTTCTTGTTACTCAAATCCATATATTCCATGTCCTGCACTTTGGAATGATAGAGAATACATCTTGTGCTTTCTCTTTGAGATATATTTTCAGGTACCTGAAGAGAGCTATTATATTCTCCCTTTCCTTCCTTCCTTCCTTCCTTCCTTCCTTCCTTCCTTCCTTCCTTCCTTCCTTCCTTCGATGTTTGCAGGGTATGGTCAAAAAAGTCAAGACAATGGTTATGGCAGTGCAAGAAGCTCCCTGTTTTTCCTGTGTGATGCATCTTGACTTTTTTGACCATACCTTTGGACACCCATCCTTCTTTCCTTCCTTCCTTGCATAAAAATAAATATAAGTCCTAATAACAATAATACATTTTAAAAAACAATGCATCACAAATGCAGGAGCACAAGTGTAACACAGTGGTGCAATGTCTTAAAGCAGCTTCCAGTGGTCACTGTTTGGAGACTGAATCCCATAAACTGACCAGCCCCTCCCAGTTCCCTCCGTCTGTCTTTGCAAGGCTGAGTTTCCAGTCTCTTGATTTTCCTTCTTGCTCTTCTTTGAACCTGTCCCAGTTTCTCTGACTCTTTCTTGAACGGTGTGATCTGAAATATAGATGTCATATAGAATATAATTTATGGGCAGGTTTGCATGTAACACTAGGCCTTGCTTAGTGTTATTCTCATTTTGCAGCACAAGCAGTCACACAGCTGTGGACAGTGATTTGCTAGTTCTTGTCCTTCCTGACCAGTACCAAGTCACCTTTGCATTTCTGGGCTGGGCAGCACTTGCACAGTCAGCCAGATGTTTAGACTGGATTTGGCATTTTTATCCACCTATCGAGTTCCTCCCAAGGACCTGGGATAGACAGATGTTGTTTGATGGTGTTAAAGGTATCATTGGAGGATGGAGGCTGTTCCAAGTAAAGCTGCCTTTTGCAATTGACAGATGGTGATTTTGTCGATGTCGATGGTGTTCAAGTGGTGCTCCAGATGTTTTGGGATTGCACCTAAGTCACCTATAACTATTGGTACTATTGTCTGACAAGCCGACAGTAGTCTGACCCAGGTCAAAGTCACTGCCTATGTGGGGTGAAATCGAAACTTTTCTTTAGTCCAGTCTTCCCCCCACCTCCATGAGTGATCTCCAGATGTGTGTGAACTTCCTCCCAGAATCCTCAGTAATGACCCCATGTACCCCTGTGTGTGTTTGTGCGTGTGTGTGAATCCCAGGACTCAAAGAGGGAATTCTGCTTTGTAGTAATTTTTTTTGCAGTAATTCCTGCATTCCGCATTGTTTTCCAAGGGGACTGCTTGATACCACTGAGTAGATGTTCTCTTCCCCACTACCAATTCAACAAATTGAACAGAGGGATTGATTTGATTTGTCAAATCAGATGAAACGCACCTGAATTGATTTGGATCAACCAAGACAGTTTCTGCATATGGACATTTGGATGGCTTGAAACTGGATCTGATTCAGAAGTAAGGTCCAAATTAATTCAGATGTCCACATCAAATGGAATTGATCTTCTAAATCTCTTCGAATGCTGAATCTAATTGGATTCAGCTCATGCACCCCATGACTTAATCATAAATCGCTATTAATCCACATTTCAACAATATGGGAAACTATGGTTTGGAGAACCTAACCTAAAATAAGCCATTGTTACTGAAGGTGGTGAAGGTTTTCTGTGTAGTCATCAACTTGGTCAAGGTACTCATTAGGGCTACACTCCAACCTCATCACAATGTGACTTAGAGGATTGTGCAGACCAGATTTGTGAAGGTTGCATGTGATTCCAGCAGTTCCCCTCTGCTCTCAATTATATGTTGCAATGTTCTTCTTTGACCCTTAAAACAGCATATCAATTCTTTGAAAGGATGGGGTGGATTAAAACATAAATGTTTGGTCACTGCTGAACTTTAGATCCATCCTCCTGAGTACACACCTTCATATTTAGTTTAGCATCTAAACCACCCTTTCCTTGTAACTCCTTACCATAACATAATAGCAAGTCAGTTATATTATCCCCCACAATGGAGACATTATTTTCCTGTTCCCTGCCAACACACACGGTTATCTCCATTCCACATTTCTAAAGCCCTATGCATGAAATTGTCCACCATAATTTATTTGTTCAAAGGAAAGGCGAATAGAAACAGAGGTATGTTTTCATAGGATGTTGAACGAATCTCTCCTTTTCCCTAGTTGCAGCATGACTCCAATACCATTCCACAACATTAATACTGGTTCCAGAGGTTGGTGTGTGTGTGTGTGTGTGTGTGTGTCAAATTATGAGTGACTCTGCGTGCTGTAAACGTGTTCAGGGACTACCACTAAAACCAGAGTTCACCCCCCACCCCAATGTAGAGAATAGAGATTTTTCAGACAACCCAGGACAGAGTTAAGAGTCCATACTATGTACAGCAGGACAATTAGATGAATTGAGACATGATGACCTTATAGGAGCTCCACCCTTGAGACATTCATTTCACTTATTTCAAAAGGTGGGGGGGGCACTCTTGCAGCCTCTCTGGTTTATTCCGCTGAATGAGACCCAGTGGCTTTCCCCCCCCCCCCCCAAATCTTCCCCTGGTTGCTCCCACAGCTGTGCTGTCATCTGGTGCCCGCAGGGTCATCTCCTGCAGTGGCCTAGCTCAGGGGGGTGGCTGCCTCACCATTATAGCACCCTCTACCCGCTAATACTATTCACGAAACAAAATGCAATTTCAATCGAATCGAAAGAGCTGGTGCACAGAGTTTTCCAATTGGGAGTTTTTATGCCCCCTTCCCCTTCTCTCCCCCACCCCACCCCGCCCCCCCCCCCCGCTTTTATCATAAGGCCTGGGTACCATCCCTGGTTTGGATCTTCTCTGGGGGAGGGCATCCTTTCTCCCCCCTACCATCCCCATCCTTGGACCACCTTTGCGAGCTGACAGGAGGAGGCAGGGGAGGTTCGCCAGACCACCTCGCTCCCCCCTCGCATCTTAGCGCTACCCGACGCCTTCTAACCCCCCCCCCCCGTTAAGTGGGAGGAGAAAGGGGCGGAGACTAGCGACTTGGGGAGGGCGGGGAGGAAGAGAGCGGGAGAGGTCGGTCATGGGTGCCGCGGGAGCCGTGCGAGGGGGAGGGGGAGATGTGAGGGTGTCCTCTCCCCCCCGGTATTTTCTTTGCAAAGGGGAAAAGAGATTGTGACGCTTTCCCTCACCGCTGATCAAACCCTCATCACCTCTGTTTTGATAAGCAGCTTGATTTCCTCTCTCCACCCGGCAGCGAAAGAAGAGATTTTTATTTTTGCCATTTCCCTCTCCCTCCCCCGTGAGGGTGGGGCGTCCCAGGAAAAGTGAGGTCTCTCTCTCTCTCTCTCTCTCTTCTCCCTCTCTCCCCATCACTACTCTTCTGCCCCGTTTCACCAGCTTCCACCTCCTCCTTATTAAGACCTCTGAATGTGCGTTTCTCTAGAGTTACAAGCATCCACCCGCCCTCTCCAGCCCGGGAAGAATTTAATCCTCGAAGTGAGCCACCAACTAACCCCAACTGAAGATAAAGAGGGTGGGGGCTCCACAAAAAGGACATCATCACCCCTCTCCTTAGCCCCTTTTACATCGGGGGACGGCGCCAGCTGGAACCAAAACACGAGCCTGCCTCCCCTTAAGATGCTAATCCCGTTGATGAAAGCGCCCGAGAGATGATCAAACGCTGAAAGGACGGAAGATTGCACTATTTTGACCCCCTTCGACTTCCATAAATACATTAAAAAAAAAAAACTTGGTGGGACCTTAAAAAAAAGCGCCCACTCTTCCTTGCCCCCAGCTTCGCTTCCGTTGGCATCAATCCGCTCCTCCGCCCTGACCAATTTCGTTTGGGTGATGGTAAGTTTCGTCTCACTTTCCAATCTTTGTGTTTGCTTGGCGGGGGCCCAGCGAAGTTTATGGTCTTTCTTGGAGGGCGGGGGCGGGGGCGGGGGAAGAAAGTCCG